CAGGTTAATTATACGCGAAGCACTTGTTATCCTCAACTATGCGTGAATTATTAACTTCTTACTTAAAATCGTTATGACCTATATACAAATTGATGGTAAGACGTAATACTGTAAATTAAACACTATAATTACATTCAATATAACATTAAATATAAATATAATAATAAGACAGAAAGTATATTAATTATAGTACAACATCATTATTAAACACTTGTTAACATAAATCCTTGATCCTAGATTTTTCTTTCAAACTTACCACACGTAAAGAATAAATAAAATATATATTAACCCTTTTTTTTAATATTTCAATCATTCATTGCTACAATAGAAACCCATTTTTTCTCAAGAAGATAAAATTAAATTTGTTTACATTATAAAATGCAATAAACTAAAATATTTAATAAAATTTTTATAAGTTTCTCCATTTCTCATATTAAGACAACGCTGATGACAGAAAATTACTTCCTTCTGTTTCACTTTGGTACGTCAGGTAATGAAAGAAAGAAATTGCGACAATAATATAGCCTACTCGTGTAAGATAATTTCATTTTAAGAAATTAAGATAATTTCATTTTAATTTTTTGACGCACTATTAAATTACAATTAACAAAAGTCACTCTCATTAGGTGATTTATTCCCCGCTTTGGATGTACCACGTAAAAGGGATATAGATTTCGAGATAACAGTTAAAGAGTCTGCAGTTGATTTAAAATTGCAACCAGAAGATGGTTTCATATTAAAAGTGAGTTTACAAATTTGAATGAAATCGGTAACCCTCGATTAATTGTACACATATCTTGACGAAATAACAAATTCTTCGAGACAATTTAATTCGACCTTTTCACTGAACTAGTAATTAATGGTCTATTAGATCATCCCACTAATAATACCATCTTTTATGTCATCTTCTAACGTGAATAATTAATACTTACGTTCCTTTATAATTGATTCTTATTTTTTGATTAACTTTTTTAACGCCATTTTCGAAAAAGCTCTCTGATGTTCTATTAAAAAATTTATAAGAAACATAATCCGTGACATGATCTAATAATTATTTTTACAATTAAATGAATCAGGTGGTTCAATTGGAAGAATTACTTAACGTTCGGCATTCAGTTTTCATCGTTGGCTTCGCGGGAACCGGAAAGACACAAGTTTGGAAAACACTGAATCGAACGTATTTCAATCAGAAGCTGAAACCGTATTACAACGATCTGAATCCGAAAGCTGTGACTAATGACGAATTGTTTGGTATCATTAATCCGGCCACTCGAGAATGGAAAGACGGGTTCGATATTTCCTATAAATATTTTAAACAAAATTACGATACATTTCTTAAATAATTTTCTGAATATAATTACGAGTTTTGTTAACTATATTTAATTTCGTTGATCATTTTATTCTTCTTTTAGATTGTTTTCAATGATAATGAGAGACCAAGCAAATATGACGGGAAATGATCCAAAGTGGATCATTTTTGATGGTGATATTGATCCCATGTGGATCGAATCTTTAAATACTGTCATGGACGACAATAAAGTATTGACGTTAGCCAGTAACGAAAGAATTGCATTAACGAATCAAATGAGACTTCTTTTTGAAATTTCTAACCTCCGGTAAACATTTTGCCTCATTATTTTATGGGTATTTGGTGAGATAAAAATATTTATTTCACTGAATATATGTATGTATATTTATTTGTTAACTTCAATTAATTATTATTTGATAAATATGAAAATGTATGACACTGGACGTAACGACTATCGATTTTTAAAGAATTCGTAGAAAAAGAGAAAAGTCTTGTAATAGAATTACATTTTTGACGCGATACTTTATATTGATTATGAATTTATTTCCTGTTAATAATAATGTACTTTTCTTAATATTAGAAATGTGTATTATCATATAATTAGTGAATGTTTATTTAAGTTTATGTTTTTCCTAAGTAAAAGAAATGGAAATTTAAACAAAATTCTATTGTTAAAACTTCTAGTAAATTAAAAAAATCGATCAAGTTTGAATTTTGTTGTTTAGAACGGCTACACCAGCTACAGTATCCAGAGCTGGAATTCTTTATATTAATCCACAAGACATCGGATGGTACCCGTAAGTAAATAATTATTTATAATTTTAATTTTATTAGACATTCATGTAATATTATATTAGAATATGTTTTTCATTTTATTACTTTATAATAATGGTTACAGGCCAAGTACAATTTATCACATTGGCTAACTAGTTTGAATGTAATCTTTATGTTCTGAAATTCAATAGAATATAGATTTTCAAACTCTGAACATGAATTTGATAACTAGGTTATTCTAGTAGCATTAGCTTTGAGAAGTCAACATTTATTGGAAAATCTTATTGACTATTTGTTCTTATAAATTATATCAAATTCATATTCAAAAACATTTTTTTATATTTTATTCAAATAGTAACTTGCAATGAAATAAAAAGGTTGAATTTTAATCATTAGTCTTAATATGTACGCGTTCTGATCATGTTAATTAAATATTTGTTATAAAAACTAAATTTATTTATTTACTTAACATCTTCACTTGAAAGTTCATTACTTCACTTTTTATTCAGAATAAATCTTTCTAACTAAAATTAAACTTACAATAAATCTGTACTATCTCAGAATATGATTTTCAATAACACGGAACGAATTCGTTACATCTGTATGACTTCTAATTGTCAGCCTCGTATATCATGGATTTCAATAACACGGAACTAATTAACCATGTTACTCGAGGGTTGACTGTAATATAATCGAAACAGATATCCATCTTAATGAGAGAATTGCATAAATCTTCGCAGTCTGGTTAACACCCGCTGGTTCACCGCCTATTCGAGTTCATTGATGACGAGACTAGGATACATTGATTACGACTAACCCAGACTAAAATAGGGAGAAAGGTTCAAACGGTTTCAAAAATGGCGAAGATGACTCCACGAACTACATAAAGTACTTCCTGCTTAGACACGGTTCCGTTTCTTCCTTGCACCTACGCCTTTCGCTGTAACCCGAGTTATTCGCGATTACGTTACCGCTGCGTGAGATGAAGATTACGATCTCTGCTCTGAACAGAACGTAACATTTGGTACTTTGATACGTCACGAGAATTATTGGTTTCTTATTCGTGTCAGAACGATCAATCTTCAAAGATTACACTGGTCAACAGGATTTTCATTACAGAAAGTTTAATGGGAGATCTTAACCCGTTGCACTCGAGACTCTCATTCGCCACTTGATTTCGTACAGTACAACTGTAAAACTTGATATTTAATATTATATTTCGTATAACGCATCAATTTGAGAAATGTTGAAATAAAATAGCTTTGTTCCTCAATATACGTGTGGTTTTTCTTCGAGTTAGTTCCTCAAAATATCGTCTTTATCTCGTCAGAAAACGTGAAAATATTTCTAGTGAAAAACGTCCGAGTACAAAGGGTTAATAGTATTTCTCATGCTGAATTCGAATATTCAATCCGCTATTCTCTATTGCTTACAGTTTTTGAAAGGATCAGTTTTGAAAAAGTACTCAATTTTTCAACTTTGAATATTTTTTGTGTCTTAATTATGAACATTTCTCAAACTTTTCTTGGGCAGTATTATTCTATAGCCCTTCCTGAACATAATGATGTAAATTTTAATAACATTATAAACATTTCAATATGTTTAAACAATGCTAAATGGCCAAACGACATCAGTAACACATCGATTTTTGCGGATATTTTTTAATTTATGTCAAAAACTAAGCGTCTATGATGATGTAAATGACGACGACTGATGACTAGGTAATTAAATACTTAGCAGTGATGCGCAACCCATAACCCAGTTTTTAAATTATTGCGATCTGCAGATCTTTCACGGTCTGCTTGAACAGATTTTTGTTTACATAACTTTCTAGGATTATATTTCAACGATATTATTTAACACGATATTTTCCTGTTTGCCACTGTTCGGCTAACACATTATTTACCAATAGCCGATTAATAGTTAAATCTAAAATATTCAATGTTTTATTTCTTTAGCATTTCATTTTTTTTAATTTAAAAAATTACAATAAGAAAACTGATATCGCATCAAAATGTTTAGCAACATAAGTAAATCTAAATCATTAATAATTAATTCCAATACCATCTATCATTATCATAAAAGGATAAGTGATATTACACAAAACTTTTAACATTTCTTTCCATAAGAAACAGAATTATGATTCGAAGTCTTAAATACCAAAAGAAAAAAACCACACGTCGGTCTCTCGTGAGTTTAATAATTAAATTATTCATTTGCACTTTTCGAATTTTAGATACCAAACCTGGAAGTCGCCATTGCGGCGACATTCGGCCGCAAAGGGTGAAGTATCACTAGTGATGTAAAAAAGAATTGATGTCTCAAGCTTTCATTTTATTTCATTCATTCCTAAGCGACAGTCGAGACCCCGGTATTACCGAGGAATTCAAGCATAAACTAGTCAGTCTTATATAAGCATCTGCTTAATTCGCACACCCGGCAGAGCAACGTACTAACAGTTATTTATACGATTGAGGGGAAGGAGAAATTTGTTGTTGCGACCCGCGACTAATATATGATGTTCCGTGCGACCTTTTATAGACGAAAAGTTGTGCATCACTGCGAAATAATTACCAATGCGACACAGCGAACATGACTATGGGTGTAGTCACTTTTAGTAACGTTTGTTATTGAGAGGCTATCGTCGCCTTCGATAAGACAAAGGTTAATGCTTTCTACCCTAACTTTCACTGCATTCGTATTACACACGAGGAAGAATGTAATCAGTGATTCTTGGAGACTCACCTTTCCCAACACCTGGGACGAAATAGCTCCAAACCTACTATAGTTAAAGGGTTACAGGTGTACCTCTGATTGTGTAAAAACATCCGTTTCTCAAAAATCTTATGTTCCGTTGATACAATCCTCCTAGAATGTTCTTTTTGCCTAGAATGTTTTAGTTGTAAATTCCTTGAACTACTTACCTTTTAACCCTTTAGGAAAAATACATTTATTTTCATAGTTGGTTACTTAGCACTAGAACTACCGTACTAGTCAAAATGGCTGGTTCCGATCTTTTCGTTTGGCAATTATTGATATCTTAAAAGCATAGAATATTCGAAATGATTTGAGAAATAAATAGTTTCACTTGAATACTATAATGAATGTTCGGAGAAACCAAAAATAATCTATTTTTACAATTTGTATAGAGGTTACATATCAGTTGTATTAATTGCTCGGTGGTTCTAGTGTTAACTTATTTTTAACAGGAGTAAGTAATTTTGTAGAAAATGTTCCAATTGTCAGAAAACTAGGTGGTTATTGGTATATTGATTTTACACTAGGGGGTTGACAACTAATCCACTGATTCGCATTTTATTGGTATTGAAATATGTGGTTTTAAGGCGATGCCACTGGGAATTAAAGAGTTAAGCTTCGAGTAGTCTGGGTTAGATAGGTGTGGTAACATGTAGGGAAGACTGGAGTGAGTTGATACATTTTTTAATTTTTAATTTTTGAATTTTTGTTCGATGTAATTATTTAATGAAAACTATGTTGAACTTATAATTTGAAACTTCCTCTGTATATACTGTAAATGACAGTTCGAAAAAACATGGGAAAAGAATGGTGAAACATTTATTTGATGGAATCAAAGTATATCAACTGTACCTATAGCTTGATATATTTCTGTATATTATTTCTGTTTTCGTAGGTTTTCGATGTATTTAGATAAATGAACACTTTTTTGTAGAAAATGACCTGCTGCATCGAATAATGTAAGAAAAATTACATGATTATACCTATAAACAATAATACATAGTAAAAATGAAGTGTCCCAAATTACTGTCCTCTGAAAACAGAAAAATTCCATTAAAAACCTTTTTAATACAGCAAATGTATAAAAAATGGTAAAGATATTAATATTAAAGAAATAACTTTAAAAATTAAGAAAAAATAATTGTAAAAATATGTTTAAGAAAATGGTTTTATTTTTACCATTTTTTGGTCATAGAATATAATACATGTAATGACGATTGTTACGACTCTTATATTATCGGAATAAATTAAATTATTTTTGTTCCACAATGAATGCAGATTTACAGTCAGCTGGATAGAGACGAGAGATCCTTCCGAGAGAGCAAATTTGACGATACTATTCGACAAATATGTCCCGCCGTTGGTAGAAGTGATGAAGCACAGATTTAAAAAAATCACTCCGCTGGCAGATATTTGCCACGTGCAAATGCTTTGCAATTTGTTAGATTGTTTCCTTACGCCGGCAAACGTGCCACCAGACTGCCCGAAGGAATGGTACGAATGATATTTGGCATCGTCAAATAACCGAAAGTAAAATTTTGCTCTGATGTGAACGTAACTTGTTCGTTTCATTAATTTGTCGATTTCCTTTATGACATTTGAAAAGGCACGAATTGTATTTCGTATTTGCTTGCATTTGGGCGTTCGGATCAGCAACCTTTCAAGACCAATTAATCGATTGGCGAAACGAGTTCAATAAATGGTGGCAAAATGAATTTAAGACGATCAAATTTCCAGCTGGAGGGAATATATTTAATTACTTCATTGAAGAAGAAACGAAAAAGCTGTTGCCTTGGACTGAGAAGGTGCAAACCTTCGAACTCGATCCCGATACACCTTTACAGGTCTGTTTAAATAATCTTTATTATGAGAAAAGTGAATTAAAATAAACAATGAAAAATTCTAAAATTATTACTCTTTCGTGATAATGAATTACTGCAATAATCAGTAATTTATTGATTTTTTTATAAAAGATCAGCATTGATCTTTCAATTCTAAAAGTGATTAATAGGAACAAATTTAAATGGCAAATATTGCATTCATATTTTCTTATTTTCAGTTATATTTCCTACTTTGAATTCTTTAAACAAAGTTTCCTCTGTTTTGAACAAGTGCATACTATTATCTCACACGAAATTCTTTCTATCTAAAAATTTATTAAACATTCTTTCTCATTCAATACTTAAAAGAAGTCACTTAAATCCTAATACAAATAATCTCATACTTTACGAATAGCTTTCATCGATACCTAATAAACTTCAGTAATTTATGTACAGTTTAAAACTAATTCAAATCTAATTTAACCCTTTATGGGCCGAATTTTGTTTGATGATTATAACAAAATTTATGTAGCATGAAATTAATAAATATTAACATATAAACACAAATTAACAATGTATTCGATAGTTTTAATAATTTTATTAAAACGAATATATCTTGTAACTTTGAAGTTACAATGACGTTGAACGTAAACGCCTGTGTGTACAAAAGTTTAAGTTGAATAATTATTCAATGCAATTCGTCATTTTGCAATAAAAAATTAAATACATCAATTTAATCCAGTATATTGATGTGAGACTTCAAAGTCACACGGGCCTGTAGAGGGTTAATTATAGCCTAGCTTATCTAATACTGTTCACTATCAAAAACCATTAATGTCAAAACGAAACGTCCCAGTTTTATGTGACAGGTAGGATGTGGCAATAAATCGATACTTCCTGTTTCCTGTTAGATCAAATTTTTATTTTCACGATTATATAAAGTGTAATCAGTGTTCTAACTTATTGGATATTTTCATAAGTTATTATATACATTTCGTCGTGCCGATAAAGATTTCTTACTTTCAAGACATTCTTCTGTAATATAACGTTACGCAACTTCCTCTCGTTTTAACCTGCAGACATTTTCTTTCGAACACTTTTTCCTCATTTTCTAGAATCTTGCTAAGTTTATACGCCTCATTTGGTTCATCTTACAGCATTTCTGTCTCATCCTGCAAAACTTTCGCTTTCCCTAAGTTCGGTGCTCGCTCCCACGCTCTTTTCCCCACCAACTTTCTCATTCCATCGCATACCCATATATGTATGTATAAACAGTACAACATGTATTTTGCAGTTAGGTCTCGATTAAAGTCATTAATGAATCACAGACATTGGCCAAATTATTCGAATACTTGGAACATAAGAATTGCTTCTAATTATTTCAAAAATATACAACAAAAATTGAAACCATGAATTCGAAAACAGCACTAGTCGCCCAATCGACATTTCAAGAAAATCAATCTTTCTTCTCATCTTCGTTCATTCATTCATTTGGCATCTATCTTATTGATTCCTGCTGCAAGTATTGACTTATAATGTAAGATAATTTGACAATTTTTGCAACATAATGTTAAAATCAAGGGAATAGCAGAGAAATTAAGCTTAAGTTATATAATATATCGCGGCAGATTTTCTCTAAGATAGCGTCAATGACGGCCATAACTTTTTGATAGGGAACTATATATATATTTTTCTGAATCGTGTACATTTTGTGCAATTTCAAAATTTCCGCGAGTTCATAAACATCCATGGAATATTTATAAATTTGATTTTAAAAAGAAATTCGTTCCACAGTCCACTCTTGTGCCTACCGGTGATACGGTGTACTTGCACTTCTTCCTGGACATACTCATCAAGAAAAGAGTACCAGTAATGTTAATAGGTGCCGCAGGTTCAGGGAAAAGTGTAATCGTTGCTGAGAAATTGAGTTCTCTTCCTGATGATTACAAGATTGCAAATGTGCCTCTTAATTATTACACCACTTCTGGTACTAGATGCATCCTTTAAATTGATACTAATTACCTATTATCCTCAAGACGGAGTTTTATATTTTGAAAGTCGTTCCACTGTGTTCTCGATTAGATGTTATATTTATTGTAGAACCATATTATTATGTAACTAAAACTTAGGAAATAGATAGTTAGTATTACACTGGTATTAGTTAGTACGTACTATTTATTTATATTAACGTCAACTAATGGTAACATAATTTCAAATTAATTATAACAAAGTTTAATTAATTAATTGATTAATTAAGCATTACATTAAACATGAATGTAACTGTATATTATTTATTTAAGAAATGTTACAAAGCAGCATGGAAAAGTATTTGGAAAAAAAGACAGGTAGAAATTATGGACCACCGGGTATGAGCAAGTTAATATATTTTATCGACGACATGAACATGCCTGAAGTAGACACTTACGGCACTGTCCAGCCCCATACGCTTATTAGACAACATATTGACTACACTCACTGGTATATGAATATAGAAAATATTTTAAAATATAATATTATTTCTATAATATTATTTTTATAATACTATTTCTATAATATTGTTTTCATAGTATTATTCCTATAATATTATTTCTATACATATATAAAATAATAATCATTAACTGTTTGAATAATTAAGGTACGACAGAACGAAGCTGACTTTAAAAGAAATCCACAACACGCAGTACGTATCCTGTATGAATCCCACAGCAGGAAGCTTCACGATAAACGCTCGTTTGCAAAGGCACTTCGCTGTTTTCGCAGTCAAGTAAGTTACAGGATGTTCAAAAATATATGTCGCGACCACCACCACATGATCTACACATTGCACTTGATGGAAAAATATGGAGAAAAAGTGTTTGCAAAATTCATTTTGACATGGAAAAAAGTTTTGCTCATTGCGGAGATAAATTTGAATTTTTAATTGAATATATTGAATAATATTATTCAACATTATTCAAAATGAATTTATAATTGTCACAACAAAAATATCTCGTTTTCCTGTAAACTTCGTAATGTTTCGAAGATATAATTTTTGACATTTTATTAAAATATCTAACTTTAGTAGATCGATTTATTAAAGTAAATAGTATTATGTAATATTTTCATTTACATATTAAGAATGTAATTCATAATTGCAGCTTTCCATCCGAGGATAATTTAATCAGGATCTATAGCCAAATGCTGGAGCAACACCTAACGAATCCTTTTAACAAATTCAACGCGTCGCTAACAAACATTTCGGAGTCCTTATTAGCGGCAGCACTATTCTGTCATAATAAAATTTCAAGCACGTTTTTGCCGACTGCAGTTAAATTTCATTATGTATTCAATCTACGTGATCTTTCAAATATATTTCAAGTAAGAATCCTATAAAATCAATGAAACGAATATATAATGCGAATACAAATCGTAGAAATTTATTATACACATTGTTCTCTTTGTTTTTCACCCAATTTCCTTTTTTATATACTTACTTTCTTTCAATAATTGTACAATACTGGTATTGTAAATTTTTTATAATGTATGGGTATCATGTAAAACAATAACAGTAAGAGATATAATACAATTAAATTTGATTAGCTTATACATGAATTTAATCGAAGTATATCTTAGTAATTTTAAATGTATTTTGTTACTAAATATATTTTTAATTCAGTAATAATATTAAAAATTAAGGTTGATTATACATTTAACAGTAGAACTATTGAACGTTTAATATGATTAATATTTAATCCTCATGAAAATTGTAACAATATATTTTTTTCGGTAGCTTCATATATTAATTATAGTATTCAAGTGAAACTATGTATCTTTAAAATCAGTTCACGTATTTAACACTTTTGAGATATCAATAATTGGGAAATAAGAAAATTCAGAGTGCAGTAGTTTTAGTGTTAGTTATACGTGAAAGAAAAGTTTAAAGGTAATGTAGAAACATAATAATTTTCAAGGGTATTCTCTTCGCTAATGGTGAAACCGTACCGACACCGAACCATTTAATAAGATTGTACGTCCACGAAGCAACGAGAGTATATTCTGATAAATTAATCAACGCTGAAGACAAGAACACATTTCAGCAATTATTGAAAGCATCACTTCTGAAACATATATCTGTAAGCTTTTCGCTAGAAATTAAATATTAGAATAATATTCAACTACAGTCTTTTCCCACGCACAATAAACTAAATGTTACTGTATAGTATATTTTACCAATTTAATATTCATATCTTTATTCTAAGGAAATGGATGAAAATATTATATATTCTGAGCCAATAATATTTTGCCATTTCGCGGAGGGAATCGGTGAACCGAAATATATGCCAATAAGAGATTGGCAACAATTGACAAAATTGTTACAGGAAGCTTTATATAATTATAATGATCTGGTATGTGAATATGTAAATACCAAGGATATTTATGAATACCATGAACGTTGTTCAAATTTTAAAGTTTTCCAAAATTCATTAGGCAATCTTTGTCATTTTCATGTGCTGCGCTTATTGTATTATTAATTTTTATTTTGGAATAGGTAGCAGCAATGAATTTAGTACTATTCGAAGATGCAATGTACCAAGTGTGTCAAATAAATCGTATTTTAGAATCACCAAGAGGGAACGCTCTTCTGGTAGGGGTTGGAGGAAGCGGAAAACAGTCTCTTTCTTCTCTTGCATCTTTTATTGCAGGATTAGAGGTATCTTTTTCAAAATTAAATTGTAATATTTTATATAGTTATAACGTTTAATTTCTGTAACGCAGTTACATGTAGAATCAAATGTTATAAACTTTTCTTTTAATATTTCACACTAGTAAAGACAATGTAATGAAGCTCTTTGAGTTGAGAAAAAAGAGAAAACTCACATTACAGACTCAATTAACCAATTATTAATTAAATTGTAATTTTTACGAAACATTACAAAATTTTGTATTAATAAGAAATACATGAACAGTAGAATTTTCGATAAAATAATATTAAATCGTACGAAGCTAAATCAGAGTTAACCTTAAATTTCATTAAAAATTATTGTTTCGATCTTTCCAAAGAGAAATTCGGCAGCAATCTTCCAGAATATTTAAAGAATGTGAAACTAATTCACAGTAAGCTTATATATTCCGAAAAAAAAACATTGCAATCTGCAAACTTTCACGAATTAAGTATCGAGTATTTAACAGGTTTAAAAAGTTATAAATCACTCGCAGTTTCTTAAATCCAAATTTTTAGAAGTCTAGTCTACTACTTTCTGTTCTTGTACAGGTTTTCCAAATGCAATTAAAAACAGGATATTCTATAAATGACCTCCGAACCGACTTAGCAGGTCTATACTCGAAGGCAGGATTAAAATCAATCGGAATAACATTCTTGATGACTGATTCTCACGTTGCCGATGAAAGATTCTTGGTCCTAATAAATGATATGTTGGCCTTCGGTGAAATTTCAGAATTATTCCCGGACGAGGATATCGATAACATAGTGAATGCTATGAGAAATGAGGTAATAATGAACTTGGATGAACATAAAGCTAAATTTGCGTACCACAAAATTATGAAATAAAACATATAATTTTGCCACTTACAGTGTTTTTTTATAAAAGCTCTTCAATTTATGAATCTTCAAACTTATCGATTAATTTAGGTAAAACAAACCGGTATGATGGACACCAATGAAAACTGTTGGAAATTTTTCATCGATCGTGTTCGAAGTCGATTAAAATGTATCCTTTGTTTTTCTCCTGTTGGTTCAACATTACGGAACAGAGCCAGACAATTTCCTGCGATAGTGAACAATACTTCGATCAATTGGGTACAAAGTTGGCCACTAGAAGCTTTGAGATCGGTTTCCACTAGATTCTTAGAAGTAAGAAAGTTGTTTGTCGTTTTGTAAAATAATAACTAAATAATATATTAAAGGACAGAAATATTCAGTCATAAATAATACGTTTACTGATGCTTCTTTCTAATTTTAAAAATTAAGATAAACAGAGCTTGTTTTAATTTAAAATGTATTCTCCTTCATTATTTATAAACTATAGCTACATAAATTAATAAATGAGTAACGTATTTAAAAAAGACAGAACTACTCGGTCATAAATAATACGTTTATTGATACTTCCTTTATTTTTGAAAAGTAAGATAAACGGAGCTTGTTTTAGTTTAAAATATAATCTCCTTTAGTATCTACAGATTTTAGATAAAATAAAAGTTTTGTTTACCTTAATATTTAAGAAAGGAAGGAAACAGAGAAACTTCATTATTTAAAGGATGACCCATTATTTATACATGATTACAATTAAAAATGAAAGAATTTTATATATTTGTAATATATGTAAATACTTGGTTTCTCTTTCTGCATGAAAATGAATAAAATACTTTCTTCAGGCGTTCTACGTCAATTATAATTTTTTCCCGATTAAATATGTTGCACACAAAATTCTGTCTGACACTTCGCGACCAAGAAAGATAATTATCGGTGTGATCTCAGCCAAGTGTGGAAATGAAAGGTGAGCACGTGCGAATACAATGAGCGCAATTCCTCATATAAGTCAGTTTTAATTATACATAGTTTAAATAATTGTTCGCGCGCGTTTCTTGAACGGAACAATCGTGTATTCGCACGAGGCTGAATCATATATTTATAAGTTTTGTAAAAAATCATGCATTAAATAATATTGTATGTACACAACGATAAATACACATTGATTTTTATATAAGTTTTAGTAATTCCATTGCATACAATATTTTACATTAACAGTTATCGGTGTATAAACTATTATATGCTAATGAATACTTCTCAACCAAAGATTCTATAAATTGTCCATGCTTCTAGACTTATTTTTCGATTACAATATAATTGCTTGTTATTATATTGTAATTTTTCATTACAATATAGTACTAAAAATATAATATTAATAATACTAAAATTAATTTTTTGGTTACAGTACACTAGTATACCGATTTGCTGGTTTGATATTCGATATATTAATTGATTCGTGTTCTCATATTATTGAAAAAAATAAGTACGAAGTTGGACTTCCAGTCGATTTATTACTTCATTATAGTTAATTAACCGTTAATTAACTTGTCGCTTCTGTATTCATCTAAAATTACAAAATAATTCACTTCCTCTATTTACGAACGAAGATATCGCGAAACAATTCACGATTTCATTTTCATTAGCATTAAATGAATATTTGGATTAATTAACAAGATTATTCCTGATAAACGTATTCATATTATAATATATTTATACGTTAGTTGATATTGCTGATACGCTCAACGTCATTTCGTCAATTCAAATTATTAACACTTATTGATTTCAGGAATTAGAAGAACTTCCGAAACCATATAAGAATTCAGCGTCCATATTTATGTCGTTCGCACATACCAGCGTCAACGATATTTCCGCATTGTATTTGCAAAACGAAAGAAGATACAATTATACAACCCCGAAGTCATTCTTGGAACAAATCGCTTTATATTCGAAGTTGCTTATAGAGAGAACTTACGATATAAAAGCAATGATAGAAAGATTAAAGAGTGGTCTTGAAAAGTTGAAATCCTGCGCTGGTCAAGTAATTTTTTGAAACAATCTCACTTACAGTAGCAATAACATACAGTTATTATAGTAACGAATACAGTTCGTACGGTTTTGTTGCTGGCAATTAATTGAGGACTAATTTCAATCGGTATATCACTAGTTTAACACATTTTCCACCACACTTGTGTGATATTTATGTAAAATGTTTTATTTGCTTTATTTGCTATGTTTCGAATGTGTAAAAATTATATGAATAACTTGCCACATGAAACAATCGCAAAAATGTATTAATGAATGAAATTGGAAATTGAAAATTATTCTTGAAACTTAATTCCTGCATATTATTGTTGCAACTGTGTATCTTATATAATTGAGTATACTAATTAACCATATAACACGTTACATTGCATGTTTAGAAAGGATTTACTCCTTTATTATTTAATAATTAAGTTATTTCATCATTCGTTTGATATATTCTCATAATCAGTTAGTTTATCATTATGACAGAATTACATACAGAACGTACAAACATTCAGTAATTACAATTATCACGCATTGAAGATATATAAAAATATGCCCAATATTTACCATTTCTAATATTTTATAAGAAAAAGTGAATGAGAGAATACAATATCTCAGTAATTTTTTATTCGAAATCATTAGAATATAAAATCTATTCTAATCTAATAATATTATCTATTATTATCTAGATTAATCTATTTATCTATTATTATTTTCTATATATGTTTATTATGGTACCCCTTAAATCCATGAGATTATTGTATTATTAAATTTACGAACATCAATACATTATTAAAAACTGAAATCAGTATACCTTAAGATTCATTAAGTTTTCACTAATAGGTAAGCGAGTTGAGAGTTGTCTTAGCAGCTCAAGAAATTGAACTAAAAAAGAAGAATGAAATTGCGGACAAAATCCTTGCAGAAGTTCGGGCCGAAAACACTAAGGCTGAAGCTGAAAAAGCCATTGGTACAAATTCAGATTCTACTTAAATGCATTATAGTTATAATAAAATAAATGAATTTAAATCAACTCTGCGGGTCAATATTGCTAAAGAGGATATTGTATTGAGAATATTTACAAGCAACATTCCAGAAGATTTTTTTAACCCCTTACGCCATGGTTTATTTCTAAAACGTGATCGATACAACTAGTTTAGTAGAAATTATTTACTTTATCACTAATTTACCAAGAAAAGAAAAAATGTTGTTACTTATTCTATATCTACTCCAAAGATTAACTATTGCTAATAGACAAGTAATTTAATTTATATTTAAAAAACATAACTGACCCTTCGATTTCCCAAATTCAGTTGGAAATTTTCGTCACGAGTCAAACATGATATTATAGGTCAAGGGGGTTAACATAAGTAGAATAAAAATTCTGGTTGCTCGCAGTATCCGCCGAAGAAGCTAAAATAGCGGAAATAAAAGAAACTGTAGCGGAGAGACAAAAACGATGCGATGAAGATTTAGCGAAAGCAGAACCAGCCGTTCGACAAGCGGAAGCTGCTCTTGACACTCTGAATAAAGTACATCATTTTCCGTAGTAGTATAACACATGTTTCTCGATTAATAGCTGCTGCTAATTAAGGAATAACGAAATATGTTATTTCTCAGTCATGAATCAAACTTTCACAGAGCTGGGAAAAGGTTTATTTTTAAGTTGTTTCAATGTTTCGCGTCTTTGTCCCGCTTTCTAATTCGTTTTCCGCTATTTACTTTCGTTTTCAAGTAGCATTCTTCGGTATGTGATGACTCTATGATGGAATTGAATTTGTTGTCAAAAATATGTGATACGAGATATGTGGAGCTTTTGCTAATTTTATAATTCAGCATTCTAGAAATGTATCGCTTAACAAGAATCGCAGTGTTTTTAAAAATATATGAATTACCATTTCATTTATGCGCAATTATCTTACACAGAAGTATCATGTTTTGTGAAATTTTAATTATAAATTATACAAACATAACAGATGTATTGAGACATTTTGCAACATAATTGAAAAATCTTGTACATGGTTCTCATGTGCTTCAAATTATTATTTAAAAAATGCTAGCACATTATTTTATCATTTCTTCATTTGCATCATTTTTGCATTATACATATATTTAAAATATTATAATATATTTTCTATATATTATAAATTATAAATTATATAATATATTACAAATTGTATATAAATTTATAATACACAACATAAAACTCAAATTACATGGATATCCTAATATTTTCGCACCTGCAACTGTAGCTGCCACATTATTAATGTAATTTAAACTTTACAGAATAATTTAACTGAACTGAAATCCTTTGGAACACCGCCAGACCAAGTAGCAATGGTAGCACAGGCTGTATTAGTCTTGTTTGCTCCCAGAGGACAGATCCCTAAGGACAGAAGTTGGAAAGCATGTAAAGCAATGATGGGACATGTTGACGGATTTCTCTCGCAACTACGAAATTACGACAAAGAAAACATACATCCTGAAATCGTTAAAGCCATTCAAGCCTACATCAATAACAAAGGTAAATAAACAAGACTATCATATAGCATGAAAATTCATAATTCATAATTCTTAATATATTTATTTAACTCATTAAGACACTCATTGCATTAACTATTGTAGGGAAATATTTTTTACACCAAAAAAGATTGTGTTTATCTTAATTTTTAAAAATAATGAAGTATAAAGAAATTCTTTTATTTATGCCCTAATAGATATATTATTAAAATTACTATGACGTTTTAAAACGAATTGAGAAATGTTCAAGAATATTAGTACATGAACGGTATATCACTTGTTTCAGTTTTTTATACACATTTATATTTCATATAATATTATAAAAATATACCTTATTTGATTCGAAAGCGTGATACAATAATTCTGCGTTTGAATTCGTGTGAATAAATAGATGCATTAAACTATTCTAGAATTTGATCCTGAGATTATTTATTCAAAATCTCAAGCGGCCGCTGGCCTCTGCAGTTGGGTCAGAAATATCATGGTTTTCCATTACATTAACGAAACTGTGAAGCCACTGAGAGCTGCACTTGCGCAAGCTAATGCCGAGCTTAAGGCTGCAATGGACCACTTAAACGCTTTGAGAGCACGTTTAGCGGTAAATTTTTTATTTCAGAAATTGACCTTTCCTTAAACATTAAGACTAGATAAATTTTAACTAAGTTTTTAGTTTTTAAAACGGTGTAATTTGGTTTTAAGCATCCAGCTTGTAAGAGCTATCTTATCTGTGTACGGGTATAACGAAAATTGTCGAGCATAACATAAATAAATGTTATCGTTTCGCTGATGTAAAGAAATAATTATTATTATACGGTTAATGATTATTAATCATTACAATAAATGCATAGGAACTACAAAAAGTGCTCGATATCTTGGGAGAAAGAATGAATACAGCGTTACAGGAGAAACAGAAATGCCAGGATGAAGCTGATGCTACTGCATTGACAATTGATCTTGCAAATAGACTGGTCAATGGATTAGCTTCGGAAAAAATTCGGTGGAATGAAACCATCGAAACGTTAGTTTCAATTACTGTAATAATTTTAATAATATCATAAAACTAATAACTTTAATAATATCATGAAACTAATAATTTTAATAATATTATAAAATTGATAATTTTAACGATATCATAAAAATAATAATTTTAATAATACCATAGAGGTATACGACTGCGTTATTAGTGTTATTTGTTGTTAAAATGCAATAGTAATTAATGACGGTATAATCCCAGTGCATAAAAACAATTTAGAAATCACAATTACTAAAATGAAACCAAATTTTCTATTGCTTGACAATGAGGATGTTTAATTTTTGTTAGTTGGTGAACTAGGAAATTAAGATGTTTAATTGTTACATACATGTAGGTTGAACGATTCAAGAGAAACTGTGCCAGGTGATGTTCTGCTTGTAACAGCATTTCTTTCGTACATGGGATGTTTCACACGGAAATATAGGCACGATTTAATGAACGAAAATTGGCTACCGTTTTTGGAGAATTTGCAAGTAAAAATACCAAGATCCAAGGACCTAGACATTTTGTCGCTGCTGTCTGATGACGCACAAATTGCCCAATGGAACAACGAAGGTTGTTATTTCTTTATCACCGCTTAATTTTGTAACAGATGTTCTTAAAATAAATCGCTCAAATAGCTTTGAATAAATTCCATATAACCGTGTAGAAATCATATAACTCAATAATTGTACACAAATCGAAATCGACCGTAATCAATGTTAACTACCATTGATATATAACAAATTTCAATGTAAAATTCATTATTTAAGGACTGCCAACCGATAAAATGTCATCTGAAAATGCAACAATATTAATGAAATCCTCAAGATGGCCTTTAATGATAGATCCACAGTTGCAAGGATTGAAATGGATAAAAAATCGATACGGAGAAGAATTACAAGTGCTCAGGCTCACTCAACCGAATTATTTAAATTTAATTGAAATTTCAATTGCGAACGGGGGAACGGTTTTAATTGAAAATATCATGGAAGCAATTGATCCTGTATTGGATCCTGTTATTAAGAGAGATTTAATAAAGAAAGGAAGGTACTATTTCTGTGTCGTCTGTAATATAAACACGTATAAATACAAACAACAGCAAATATTTATAAAAAGAAAATACATACAAAGATATGAAATTATAAAAAATTATTACAGAAAGCTTATTTACAATGTTAACATCGAACAAATCTTCATCAGTCGTTTAGATTAAACTTCACCTTAATGGAAAACTGAATTATTGTAAAATAACTTCATAATAGTAACTTACACTGCCATGTCTGAATTTACTATTGTCCATTTCTACAAAGAAATGAAAATTAAGTCATTCTTTTATTACTTTGTACGACTACAGATGTAATTAGCATAACAAATATACTTATACATAAGTAGGTTGCTGCAAAAGATTCGGAAATCCGGCATTTCTAGCGTTGCCATTCAATTGTTCGTCATTTTCATAGTTTCACATTTTTAAGTAGAAAGTGCTGACACAACACAATGGAAAATGTATTGATGTCAAAGCAGAATATTTTGAAAAACAATAAAACCATTAGTACAAACTTATTTGCGACTTTTCTCATACTTTTCCGAAACTATTGCAACAACCTACGCATAACGGAACGTATAAATGTACAACAGAAACTTTACACAATTTGAAATTTATCTCGAAGGGCCATCAAAATCTGGGACAAGGAAATCGATTACGATCACCGATTTCGGCTGATCCTGCAAACAAAGTTGGCAAATCCTCATTACAAGCCGGAGATACAAGCGCAGACGACTCTTATCAATTTTACCGTAACGAAAGACGGTTTAGAGGAACAACTCCTAGGCGATGTTGTCAAAGCAGAGAGGCCTGATTTAGAAGCCAAAAAAGCTGAGTTGACCACGCAACAGAATACATTTAAAATTACATTAAAGGCACTGGAAGATGATCTTTTGCACAGGTATTGCATTTTGAAGTTGTGTTTCACTCGAGTGATTAAAATTACTCGAATAATTTTTTCGTGACCCTAACGAGTTAAAAGTTGTTCAATTTTATGTCTACAAACTGAACAAATGTAATCTAAAAAAGTGATAAAAGTAACCAGTTAACTATGCCTCGCAAAGTGTATACGCGTCACCTTGAAGCTCAAAGTAACACTAATTTTTTCAACAATTAATTATTTATTTCTTTAAGTAAGAACCAATTGCACATTCGAATTCAGCATAAGAAATATTATTTATTAATATTATCCATTAAACCATCTGTGGTAAAAACAGGAGTTAAATTTTGTAGACCAGTGTTATAACAGCAAAGTAGTTATGTCGATCATAATTGAGACATAAATCATAGGGTAAGGGGTTAAATATGAAAACTATCGTTTACGAAACATAATTTACTTTTAAAGACTATCGACAGCAGGGCCAAATATTTTAAGCGACGTCGATCTAGTGATAAATCTCGAGACTACTAAGAAGACAGCTGCAGAGATACAAATAAAGGTCGCCGAAGCTAAAGTGACAGCTGTGAAAATTGACCAAGCTCGAGAAATTTATCGCACAGTGGCATCCAGAGCCAGTCTTCTGTACTTCGTATTGAATGATCTTAGCAAGATAAACATGCTCTATCAGTTTTCGTTGAAAGCGTTCAGCGTGGTCTTCCAGAATGCGATTAAATTTGCTGAAGAGGCGGACACGTTGCCAAATCGTGTTGCACTTCTGATCGACAGCATCACGTATTTAGTTTTCATTTACACCAGCAGAGGATTATTCGAAAACGACAAGCTAACGTTCCTTTGTCAAATGACAATTCAGGTAAACGTTAATTACGATTTACGTGCCTCATTTTTTATTATTCGAACATCTAGCAAATGTACATATAACGTACTTGCTATAAATATTGTAAAAATATGAAAGTATTTTAATGACCCTTAACGTTTTGTATAAATAATTAAGAAAAATATGGTATTTAAGTCCTCTATTTAGTTCTTTTGTTTTACATTTCTTAAATCTCATAACATTAGAAAAAATTGTTGATTAATATTTTGAAAATGTATATATGGGGTGTTTCGTAAATGTGCTGTCTAAAATAATTCGTTATGTATTGATGTAATTAAACAATGTCTCACGTAAATTATGTTACGTTATTTATTAATTACATTCAAGAGGGCTCGTTGCATTGAATGAACTTTTAAACTTCTGCGTCTTCCATTTTCTAAGGCATCAAAGTGATACTCAGATTTTTAAATAGGATTATAGTTTCTTTTAGTATTGCATTCTAATCAACTTCAATCAATTCTAATCGATTCTATCGAAATTGCAAGTTTGTGTTTCATCAAATTAAAATTCTATCGGAATTATAAGTTTGTGCTTTTTCCAAATTTAACAGATTTTCATGCAATCAGAAGAGATAACGCAGTCTGAGCTCGATTTTCTTTTACGATTCCCGTATATACCTGACTTAATCAGTCCGGTGGACTTCCTCACAAACGTTGGTTGGGGTGGGATCAAATATTTGAGCCAAATGGACGACTTTCGGAATTTAGAGAAGGACATAGAAGGCGCTGCGAAAAGATGGAAAAAGTTCGTGGAATCGGAGACACCGGAACGAGAAAATTTTCCTCAGGACTGGAAAAACAAAACTGCTTTGCAAAGGCTCTGCATTATGAGATGCCTTAGACTAGATCGAATGACTTATGCACTTAGGTTTGTTTGCTTGAAATAATTTCCAAATACTTTTCTATTATAAACGTAAGAATATATATCAACGCTATTTTAATGTGACAAATACATCAAATATTCGTCAATTTGACAGACATGTCTCAATTTATTTAACCTTTTGCACTTGAGAGATGACCCTTACTCGTCACTTGATCTGATACAGCAAAATTATAAAGTTTTATATACAATATTAAGCTTTATATAGTGCATCAATATTTGAAACTTTAAAATAAAGTAGTTTCGTTTGTTAATTTAAGTATATTTTTTTATTAGTTAGTCTCAAAGATTGTTGTCTATATCTCATGATAAAGTGTTGAATATTTCTACTAAAACAATGTAGAGTGCAAAGGGTTAATATAGTAAGAATATATGGAAAATCTGACTGTATCACGAGTAAAATAAATCTTTTTCTTATCGAAGGCATTGGCAGAAGTTGCAAAACGTATTTTTTATTTGTATCGTGTATAATAGTTTACACATCGATTATATTTGTAGAAGGAATGAAAGTTTCATTTTACATAGGTGTTTCGTAGAAGAAAAACTGGGTTCGAAGTTTGTAGAATCTAGGTCTCCCCCTTTCCATAAATCCTTCGAGGAAACTAGTTCAATTACACCTGTATTTTTTATTCTCTCGCCAGGCGTCGATCCTCTGAAGGTAAATACATTTTAAAATATCGAAAATTTTGTAATATTTCTGCACTCCTTCGAAATTCATTGAAAAATTCCATTTATTAATTCAGCCACTAATTATTCATATACAACTAAAAGAAGCGATTAAACATTTGTTAGATAAAAATTTTAAGTAAGGATGGAACATGTTTCGTGTTATTAAGAAAAAATATAATTATTAATACATTCTACTAATTATATTGATAAAGAATAATATAAACAGCAACGTAGATACAGAATATGAAAATACCAACAAAAGAAATAAATTTTCAGGATGTGGAAAAACTTGGAAAACAATTAGGTTTCACGTTTGAAGGCAGAAATTTCCATAATGTTTCATTGGGTCAAGGTCAGGAACCAGTTGCCGAAGAAGCAATGATTGTTTCAGCAAATGAAGGACACTGGGTGATCTTGCAGAATGTTCATTTAGTAAAGAAATGGTTACCTACGTTAGAAAAGAGAATGGAACAGTTGTCAGAAAGTCCTCATGATGATTATCGATTATTTATCAGTGCTGAACCCAGTCCAAATCCTCGGGAATCGATAATACCGCAGGTGATTAACCCATTCAGACTCGACGCGCTACGCACATTAACAAATTGCATTCCGCACAATGTCACAGAGCAAAATACGCAAAATAGAAAAAATAAAATATTAAATCGTTTGATTGAATTACAGTATTATTTATGATATAGAAATGTTTTCAAATAATCATCGTTTAATTCAGTGAACTATAGTAATTCGATTTGGTTGGGGGTCACCGGTGACCCCCAAGCACTCAACGTGTTAAATATATAAAATTTAAGTACAATTGAACAAAATTATGTAGTATTACCCGAGCGTTTGCAATAGGGCTTTTTGAGAAATTTCCAATATTTAATTGTACATAGGGAATACTGGAATCAGCTATAAAAATCACAAACGAACCGCCATCGGGAATTCAGGCGAACATTCACAAAGCATTGGACAACTTCAGCCAAGAAACTTTAGAATCCTGCAGCAAAGAAACGGAATTTAAAGCCGTATTGTTCGCGCTGTGTTATTATCACGCTGTACTTGCAGAACGTCGAAAATTCGGAGCACAAGGATGGAACAGGGTAGACATTCTATTTGTAGCTTATTTAATAATTACTGCATGTTTCTAAAAATTTGGAAGTAAAATAGTTCTTCTAAAATAATATTATTAGTAATGGTTACAAGAAGCTGTAAAAATATGTTATAAATTCAAGTTTATAAGTTATAAATTCACTATCTACAATTAATTTAATAATTAAACAGCACCTACAATGTAATTGGTTTCCAAGTCAGCATTAATTTATCGAATGATCCAACATTCAGCATAAAGATTCGGCAAAGAAAATATTTATTACGCCACATTGAAAAGAGTAAACAGTTTAAAATAATTTATATAATTATTATTTTTATAAAATAATTAGTATCTAATATTTCTTCTGTACTAGTCGTATCCGTTCAATTTTGGTGACTTGACGATCAGCGTGTCCGTGTTGTTTAATTATCTGGAGAACAGTATCAAAGTACCATGGGAGGATCTCCGCTATTTGTTTGGGGAAATAATGTACGGTGGTCATATAACAGATGACTGGGACAGGAGATTATGTAGAACATATTTAATGGTATATCTGAAACCGGAATTAGTTGAAGGTAAATAGACGTGGTTGTAAAATCATAATTGAAGCTATGAATTTCAAAACAGCACGAGTCCAGTAACTATTATTCGGAAAAGATCAATCTTTTTTGTATATCCTCATTAACTTAATATCATTCTTGATTATTTTTGCTGTAAATATTAATTATACATATACTTTCATTCTATACAAATTTTTACTAATATTAAATAACTGGTTTTTGTGTAAAAAGCCTTGAAAAACCGTGGACTTGTGCTGTTTTATTACAGTTAACTAAATATATGATGTAGCTTATAGAAGAGAATTAATTTTTAATTGTATTTAGGTGAATTATATTTGGCATCTGAGTTTCTGGTGCCGCCTAACAGCGATTACACAGCTTACCATCAGTATGTCGATGATTTCCTGCCTAGTGAAAGTCCAGTTCTTTATGGTCTTCATCCTAATGCTGAAATTGGTAATAAATTATTATTATTAAATATTGATAACACTGTCCAACAAATTTTAACTTTTTTCTTGCGTATTCCAATTAGTAATCAAAACAAAAATCAAAAACTAAATTTTCATTGTAACTTTTCGTGGTGGTTTCAGTATGAAAAGATCCAGAAATATTATAATATTATAATATTTTATTTGCAAGTACTTATAGAATCATTTTCTGTAAAAAATATACCTTATAAAGTTAAAGCACAGATAATCTTTAAATTAAACAATTTGATTTTCTATTATAACATTTTTATTAAAACATATCGTGATACAGAAAAACGATTTCTACAGTCATGCTAAAAAGATCATCCACTGTTTGTTGGAATTCAATGTATATACTGGACAGTGTAATATATAATAGACTCTACATATTTAAAAACAATACTTTAATTAGGATTTTTAACATCAACCGCGGAAAACTTGTTTAAAACGCTACTCGAAATATTAACGCAAACTGCGAGCGATACAGAAGGAGAAATATCGAAAGAAGATAAAATGAAAGGTATTTTAGAAGATTTATTAGATAAATTACCAGAAGAATTCAATATAGCAGAACTTCATGGCAAGGTACTGAAGCTGTTCACGCATTTACAAATAATTAACGATACTCAAGATATTTCAAAGATAAATGATAAATTTTCTTAGTAGGTGTTGAATACTAACAATAACTGACCTTATCAAAATAAATCTATGTATGGAAATAAACATAGATAACATATATTAATTCACGAGAAAATTGAATTACCTAAAATCTGTTTATTTTTGAGACATCTTGTTTTGGATGCCATTAGAATTTTATTATATATTTGAAGTGATATATTAATCAATTTTAGGTTGAAGATCGAACACCCTACGTTACAGTTGCATTACAAGAATGTGAACGAATGAATATTTTATGTGCAGAACTTAGAAGATCTCTCAGGGAATTGGAATTGGGTTTGAAAGTAATGAATAATTATTATTGAAGTAGTGAATAATGATGCATGAATTAGAAATTAATTTTACAAAATATCAAATGTCATCTACAACGTAAATTAGTTGCAGTAATAAACTATAACTAAAATTAATGTATGATAGGGTGAATTAACAATTAACGCTGAGATGGAAGATTTACAAAATTACATAATGATGGATGCCGTTCCGCCATCTTGGACTAAGCGAGCATACCCTTCAAATTTAGGATTGAATAGTTGGTTTGCGGATATGCTGAATAGAATGAATGAATTATCGAATTGGACTACTGATTTTAGCGTAAGTGAATTTATTGTATATTAATATGTATATTAATATTAAAATACTTTGAAACAGAATTTTAAATATTTATTCGAATTGTTTTTCACTAATATCCATATTTATTCTATTGTAGTGTCATTCTTATGCATTTTAAAAAAGAAATATTGTAAGAAAAATAAATAAAATACGATATTACTTTAAGATACAAACGTAATAATTTTTTAGTTACCATCATCGGTATGGTTAGGCGGTTTTTTCAATCCACAATCGTTTCTAACTGCAATTATGCAGCAAACTGCGCGCAAAAATGAATGGCCATTGGACAAGATGTGTTTATACTGTGAAGTTATGAGAAAATTTAAGGAAGAAATCACGTAATTCTTAAATTATTAATTTAATAAATTATCAAATGCTTTATTCATAACTATTTCCTATTATATTTATTAACAATTATACACTTTTAAATATTTCTGCTATTATTTTATTATTCATTTTCTGTGACATTAATGATTTTCGATTCCAATTTCACTGTTATTTTTGTTTTGTTTAAATGTCTTACTATACCATTGAAAATAATGAATTAACCCTTTGCACTCGAGAGGTGACTCTGTCACTACTTGATTTGACACAGCAAAACTATGAAGTTGAATATTTAGTATTTTAAATTAAACTTTGTATTGCTATGTGAAATATTCAAATAAAATAGCTTTGTTGCTTAATTTATCTGTGAATTATCGTTAAATTAGTTTCAAACAATGTCGTCTATATCTCGTCGGAAAATGTTGAACATTTCTAGTGACAAACTTTCGAGTGCAAGGGGTTAATATAATTTAATTTGTACAATTTATTAAACTTTTTTGCTGTTACTGTATTTTCCTTCTTTTCATCAGTATTCTTCAATTGAAACTTTAGGTCAGCACCAAGGGAAGGTGCTTACATAAATGGACTATATATGGACGGCGCACGATGGGATACCCAAGCAGGATGCATCATGGACTCTCGGTTTAAGGAATTGCATCCGCTGATGCCCGTCGTTTATATTCGAGCAATTACGCAAGATAAGCAAGATCTAAGAAATATATATGAATGTCCTGTATACAAAACTCGATCTCGGGGGCCTACTTACGTGTGGACATTTAATTTAAAAACAAAAGAGAAAGCTGAAAAATGGATTCTTGCTGGAGTGGCTATTTTATTACAAATCTGAGTGTGCTGCCATACATAATGATTAATTACATAAGTTAAACTTTTATTCACTTAAAATATTTTAAACTGAGCACATAGAAGTATCAGTTTTAAATTATAAAACTCAAAGTATGCAAATGTTGATATAGTTTTATTCAAA